TGCACTGTCACTATTCTGAGTCCTCATGAAATATAAATACCTATGATAACCTACCTATATTAATGAAAACATGGCCTGCCTTAAAGCCTGTTCATGTAGAATTAATAGGCCTATACATGAACATTGTGCAGTCTTCAGGCACCATATACATGTTTAATTCTGAATAACTGCAATGTCTTGGCGATACAGTTTTGCAAAGTCTTTTATAAAGTTGATGCACTCTCTGTGCTATTCTCATTGTTCAAACATCAAAATAGATTAGTCTTATATTTAATCGTGTTGCTTTTTTTTTTTAGCAATAATAAGGTTGTTCAATTTTCAAATGAAGCATTAATTGACATAAACCCCATTTTTAGTCATCAAATAATTGTATAATAACAAACTGTATAATAACAATTTAGTTCTTACAAACTTTAAGATACCTTTCACAAAATGTTCCAAGATTGGTGCTTACATCATAAACTAGCATTGTTTTTTTTTGTAAATTAAGGTCAAAGGTCATTTTGTAGCGCATTTTCTCTGTGCTTCATGGTATGATTTTGGTTTTATTTTATGAATTGGAGGCCATTCAAAGCGCTTTAATATGATATACAATTTGGCTTTGTATTTGCTATAGTTTTGGAGATACAAGTAATGAAAGTTCGGAAGTCATGCTAATGAGTCAAAAGTTTGTTGACCCGTATCTCAGAATCTAACAAACTACAAAAAAATCAGTTCTGGGGGTTTCTCATACAGGCCAATCATCACACCAAATCGTTTCAATCTGTGAGGGTCAATTCCAAAATCGTGTTTAATTGACACGGAATGACACATTTTTGAGAGTCAAAATTTTGACTCCCAAAATTTGTTCTTGCAAGAATAACACAAATAGGCAATTTGTCAAGGATGGCTGTGTAGACGTTTATATCCTACATTTAAATGCTCTTTGTAGCCCAATTCGGTGCTTTTCAGGATGTAGTGTCCCTTTAAATCACTTGTAATTTGATATGGTGGTGTCATGTATGATGTAACCATTTTTGTCACATCTTTGTACAACAGTGCATGTTTGTACAAAGTTTTTTCTTCATACCTTGACCCGTTACGGAGTAAATCCATTTTGTTTTATTCATACTGCTTTAAGTATTTTGAATTCACCTAACTTTAATTTGACCGTCAACCCCAGCAGGTCAAGCAACTTCACGTGTACACAGGACAAAAAAAATGGTTCATCAACGGATGGTCCATCAGATCACAAAATGTGAACAAGATTATTTGCTTTGTTCAGAAGTTATGAATGAACAAAATGGTCACTTTTTGAACTAGAATTTCTTGTAATTTGATACCTGCTGATGTCATCATGACTTCAGATTTGAATGCACACCTCAGTGTCAGGGGTATATGTTCATACCAATTATAAGTTCCTGCGTTGTACCTTTAAAAATATAAGCCATGGAGCTTTATTGTCCAGAAAAAAAAGCAAAACAGGAACACTACATACAGAAGAACAATCACAAACCAAAGGGTGATCTTGATGGGGGCTCATGCAGCCCCCTCACCCACTAATATAGGGATCAGGTGTAGAACATTCCACGCACAGGACAGGTTGGTTTGTTTGCAAAACAACCTAAAAGCAAATTTGCTCTTTTCTAAAAGTTACGACCCCAAAATAAAACAATTCTTCCATATTATACCAACTGAAATCAGTTATGAAATAAATACAAGTTTTGTTGTAGTTTTGTTTTAATTTTTTGTGTGTGTACGTGCTCTGGCCCACACCACATTATTGGGAGGTTTCTCATTGTTAAGTTAATTAGGACCAAGTTGTGGGGACTTTTTGCTGTCCCCATAACGTTTTCGGTCCCCACCAGTACGGCGTAGAGCTAGAGACGTGTATGTCCCCACAACTACGGAACAGAATTGAGTGTGTTTGCGTGGGATTTCTCATCAGTTCCCAGATCTGCATGTGCACATGGAAGACTTACTTATAATTTCCACACAATTATGAAAGTTTGTGTTGATGAACATGTGCATGAAAGAAACTTACGTCGTAGGGAATGGTTCCCTTGTGTTGTCCCTCATTGCTGCAGATGACCACTCGGTTGTTCATCCAGTCTGCCACAGCAATCTCACCAGGTTGAGTGGCAGTAACACCTACAGCCCCATTGAACTCTCCTGGACCACTTCCCACTTTACCAAACTCACGCAACGTCTCGCACTTGCCTTTGACTGCCAGCTTGCCCAGATTGATGTCACCAATCCTCTGACCCGGGGTGAAGCTCAGATATGAAAGCTTGGGATCAATCTGGGGAGGATTTTGACTCTTGAGTGATTTCAAGTCTTTTCTGATGATAGGATAGACGGAAAGCAAATCAGTGTCTGATGCAGTGTTTATGACATCCTGAGCTGTACTGAAGGAATGTTGTTTACTTTGAAGCATCATTGTCACTGTTTCCTGATGCTTATCGTATGTTTTGTTGCGATCCTGCTGGAGTTGTTTGATTTCTGCAATCATCTTTGTCTCTTGAGTTGTTATCTCAGCTCTCATTTTATCCGCTTTGTTTTTCACAGCTTTCACAGTCTTTGTGACGTTCTGTGTGAACTTCTGCTTAGCTTGTGATGAAGTGGCCAAAGCTTTTTGAAGTCTTTTGATGCCTGTGTGACATCTGGAAACGTATCTTTCAGTGACTGTTTGTATTTACGAGAAGCCTCTCCAGACTCAATGTATGATGTTTTTGGTTTACAGTGGTCTACTCAGTACAATCTCGACAGATTAACTCTCACATGTCTCACAGTAAAACCGTTCACTTCACCCTTGTGTTTCTGGCATTTAGACTCATCTTCTTCTGGTGTTTTTTTCACCATTACCTTCCCCTGACGAATGTCCTCCAAAGTAACCACTGTGTGGTTTGATGTAGCAGTACATCGCCAGTGTGTCTTGCGACAGTTTGGGCAGATATTCTGTGCACAGTCCAGACAACGATGCATGGCCTCATTTCCCTCATCACAAATCTCACAGATGACCTTTGTGTTTTCTGAACAAGCCACCTTTTCTTGGAGTGAGACCTCCTCAACTATTCCCATCAAATGGAAATTTGTTTTCAGGCCTTGAATGCGTGTCTCTGGAAGTACCATCTCCCGTCGACATACAGGGCAAGGAATCTTAGGCTGACCTGCATACCTGCTAATGTAGTATTTCTCCAGACATGTCTCGCAAAACTGTGCTGGTAGTCTAGCACCTTGGGCCGTTTGTATTTCTCCTGACAAATGTCACAGGCGATGGTTGCTTATCTTCTCAAGAGCTGTAGCCATTTTATCTGTATTCAAATAGTATTTAAACAGAAAATGGAAGGTTACTATAAGAGCAATGACAAAACTTGAGCAAACATGCTCCTTCTATGTACATTAAACATGCACTGTCCCTGCAAGTTCCATCTAGAAAGAAGTACCATGGACATGTATAATGTTTCTTGTGAATTGCTATTTGTAGCCCAACAAAAGATATCCACTTTTGAACGAGACATTAATAAAAAAAATCTCTCTTTAATTCCTTTTGGAATTCCTGTTCAGGTTTTGAAGAGCACTGAAGTAGTAATCTTTAATTCTCTTCTGAAATGTCTTCAGATATTGAAATGGACAAAACTGTATGCAAGGTGCT